ACATTTGCTTTCACTCTATACTTAAATTATACTCTGATATTTCATATGTATAATTTATACTTTTTATATCAAGGCTGTCCAAATTCTAAGCAGCCAGGGGTTGAACACCTTGCATGCTATACCAGGAGGGGCTGCATACCTGCAGGCAACACCAGGGCATGCCAAATGTCCCCTGGACCGTGCACTGCGTGAATACCACCCCCACTCCCACTGCACAGCACACCCACACCTGCTGCACCAACAGGAGCCCAGGGGCCTCAACTTAACCCCTCATGGGCCATACATGGCCCATTGGCCACCAGTTGGACAACCTTGTTTTTTATTTTGGGATAGTAGCCATCTCTCTTGATGAAGAGCCAAAATGAGTTAATGTTACCTCTTATTCCAGGCAAATCATTTTTTTTATTTTTATACATAGCGTTACCATACGTCCAGATTTTCCCAGACAAGTCCTCTTTTTGAGTCCTCCAATTCCCATCCAGGCAGGTTTTCAAATCTTACCAAAAGTCTGGGTTTTTGCTCTGTTCCACTGGTGGGAGCAGAGGGAAGGGCAATTCTAGGCAGGGAGCACCACATGTGCAGGGAGCTGCAGGCACGTAAGTCTGGGTTGGAGGGCTGGGGCTCAGGCTGCAGCAGGGCAGTGGAGCAGGGAGGTTGCCTGCCCCTCCAGAGTAGGGAAGGGGGTCAGGGGGGCATTTTGAGGTCAGCTGGGAACCCCGTGGCTGGGCTGGCAGCACAAGGGCCAGTACCTGTGTTTGCAGGGGCAGAGCGGGCAGGAGATGATGAGGGGAGGAAAGGTGAGGGGGTAGGGGAGGCAGAGGGGGAAGAGAGCCATGGCTGAGCCTCCTGGAGCAGTGCAGCAGCCCCAGCCCAGGGGTGCCTTCCCTTCCCTCCAGCCTGCGCCAGGGCCAGACTCGCTCCAAACCACCACGCTCCAGCCCAGTCAGGATTGGGACAGCTGGGAGCTGCAGCTCAGGAGTGAGGAGCACCAGCAGAGATTGGGGATGGGGAGGCTGCAGGTTGGGAGTGAAGGGAACCAGCATGGCCCAGGGGGGCAGGGTACTGAAGTTTGGGAGTGAAGAACTTTGGCAGGGCTGGGGTCTGTGGGTCAGGAGAGGGGAAGCAGCAGGGCTGGGGTGGGCTGTGGCTTGGGAGTGAGGGGGAACAGAATGGGCAAGATTCCAGCATACCACTGCCCTCCACAGTCATCCCCCACTTCCCCTACTGCAACAGGTGTCCTCTATGAAACATGCACATTTGGCTCTTTACAGTGTTGCTCACACAGATTTTCAATTAGTAGAAGTAATGTTGTCAACTCAATTTTTTTAAAGAGTTTTGTAATATTTGGTGGTATTCTTGAGGCCCTAGCTTCTGCAGTTACATGATAAGCTTTATAAGGGAAAGTAAATTTCCATAGAAAAACCTGAAAATATGAACCCAAAAGTCTCAATACACAAAAAGTAAATCAACCAAATAAAACACAAAAGTGGCTGTTTGGGTTATTTTTTAATAAATTTAATGAGTTGGGAGACCTGGTTCAAAGGTTTTCCAAAAGTATGAGACTCCAGAACTCAGCATTTTAAATATATTTTGATTTAATTTTGCAAGATAACTTTAGAATTACCAAATGCAAAAAAAAATATATGATAAAAAGACCATTTGAATGCTCTTATTCCTGCAAGATTCGGCTCAGTTCTCCCAAAGAAGCCTCATACTTTTTCCCATCCCTTCTAATCTGGGTTAAAATTGTGCTCCAATAATATGCAGCCTGAATGTTGTTTTGGGTTTCTGTTTGACAGAGAAGCTATTTTTTCTACATGAACATATGAAAGATGATGAAAGAACTAAGTGGAAAAATGAGAAAAGGGTCTAGAAAATAGGAGGGTAGTGCAACAGCGAATTATAATTAATTAACCCACGCTGCTAACTAAAAGGAAATATTGGCTATTGGTTAGGTTCAGCCTCACTGAAAGCGTGGAGATGTTGTGACTGCCACCTTTCATTTAAAATACCTATAAGAAGCTACAAAGCTCTTCTATGAAATCAGGTAGCTAAAACAGGGCATCCAACCAAAACAAAAGGCACATGTGGTTGATAAGGAATTTGAACTATGTGAGCAGAGGGTCTTGTCTGGGTATCATTTTATTAAAACGGTATATATGAGATAGAGAGAAATAGAAAAAGCATCACAGAAACTGACTCTGAAAAGGAACACAACAGTCAGACAATCCACTGTAGAGTGACCAGAGAAAAAGTGAAGAAGGCATGCTGTTGCATAAGGAGCTGAAAGAGAGTCAGGGAAACAAGACCTTTTAAACAAGCAGGATAGCAAAGAAATAATAGCATCTTCAGCAATTTCTGCCCCTAAACAAATAACCTGAAGGGTTCAGAAAAATGCCTTATTGCAGGTGCATCTACATGTGCAATTAGGGAGTTCATGCCGGAGTTTATTTCTCCTAGGTGCATTTACATTTGTACCCGGGACTGCAGCATGTTGAGCCAGGATGGAGTAGCCCCAGGCTGGCAGGAGACTCAGAGAGTCAGCCCCAGGCTCCGGGTAGTGGCGTTGGGTGACAAAGGGACTGGCTGGGGCATGAGGGTGCTACAATGCGGGGCTAGCTGGCAGGCAGCCCCAACACTGTAGCACCCTCATGCCCTAGCCAGCCCTGGTCACAGTGTACCCACAAGTTGTGGCGGCATAAATTAATCCACCATAAAATAATACTTGCCCCAGATAGTAATATCCTATGGCAGAGTTACTTAATTTACTGCGCCCTAATATGGGTGCACGTGCAGACAGTGATGCTTTGCTGCAGAACTAATTAGTCACCTCCACAGTAAAGCACACGTCTAGATGCACCCTGTGTAATTCAAAGGGCTAACACTAGCATTAAGAAGATGATCCAGTTTCCAATACTAAACACTGTTGCAGTGATATTTCTATGGAACCAAGGTGTAATAAATTGTTTTAATTTCTTTCAGCCAAGAGCTGAAGGCATGGAAAAGTAAAGGAGGGAGGAATGGAATGGAGGAAGGAAAAATGCAGCTGCTACGGCCACTGCACAATCGCAGTAGAAACTGGAAGTCACCACTGCCCCTTCTGCCCCAGCTGTGTCCTTACACAGCTGGTGGCAATAGCTGATGGGGCAAACCTGTTAGTGAGGCTGTCCTACTCACTGACAGGCTCCCCTGCACATCGGGGAGCTGAGGAACAGCTTCCTATTGCCTCCTGGCTAGAGAGTGTGCCTTTGTGGAGACTTTGTTATGCTCCAGGCAGGAGGTTGTGCACATCTGTACACCCCATAATGGACTACCATGTTTTCTTGTATAGAGAGAAGATCTCCGCCGTCACCCCAACCTCCCCCTCAAAACAAAACAAAGCAAAACAAAAACAGGTGCTGGAAATTAGTGCGAATTATGCAAGAGAAATATGGTAAAGAACAGGTCCTGCAAAAGTGAAAGTAAAACCTGACTGCAACTCACCAGGAACAGATCAATGAGCAACCTGCCTACCTGCTGCTACTCACTCACTATATAGAAAGACCTTTTTCTTCATTCTGCCTTTCAAAACAAAAAGCATATTATATTCTCAGATATGTGTATGTGATAAAATATGGCATCTTTTGTAGCACTATAAAAATAAAGTGTCTAGGGCTTGAGAGAAATTGCAGCCAAAGTGAGTAAAAAGGGGGCATTTACCAGCCAGCTTAAGTGACCCGGCTCTTATGGTGCTGAATATTTTATCCCTAGAAAAAGAGACTGAGTGACCAGATGTAGTACAATCTATTGAAATGCTGTTTGGAGCCAATCATAGCATATCTAGGAGCCACAAGGAGGAAAAGCAGCAATTCATTCACAATTGGCAGACAATCTAGAGACTTGCATTCCTAACATATTGAGATACTGACAAATACTTTCACAATAAATTTTCAATAGTCCAATTTATAAATAAACCAGGACTAGCAGAATAAAACCAGTGAAAGGAGGCCAAAATATTCCCAAGAGGCTGTGGAATCTGCCCCAGAACGCAAATCTTTCTGTGCAGCAGTATACCAGAAGAGGAAGCAGCTGTTAGTGAGAAAGATGGAAGCTGATCATCACAAGCCCCGTAGATATAGCTCTGAGTGTTAAGTGTCTGATGGAAAGGGGATTCTAATTTGGTTCTTGACATTAGATAAGGTGATAAATTTAGTTTGTAAAACAAGGGAAATGGGCAATAATGGAAAAAAATCAAGCAGCAAGCGCAATTAAATGCTGGTACTGTGAAAGAATATTATGCCTATAAGGCTGGACAAGGCACCATTTCACAAATTTCTAGCGTAAGCTCCTCTGTCAGTTCAAGAACAGAAAGGAGCCCATACTTAAAGGAAAAAGCTCAGAGATACAAGGTTTTGGGTAGCCAAATAACAACAACAGGAGTTTAGCTACTGCTGTATAATCTGTGAAATGCACTTGAATAGCAGACTTTGGCCCAATCACTGCCCATATATGCTAAAAAGGCCAAGAAATAAATATGTAAAAATAGAAGCACCTAATTGGTTTGAAAATTGGGTTTGAAAATAAATCTCTAGAACCTAAGTCCCAGTAGCAGAGAGAAGGGATGAGCTAACTATCAGTTTGGATTTCCCTATGGCTAATAAATATGTAACATGTATCAAGAAAAGTATCTTAATTATTAAAGAAAATTCAAAGAAAAATTATACATTATACAGAAAAATGGCTTTTGAAAATGTATAATAGATTTCATTTTAAATAAAATGTATTGAATATTACAGTCTCAAGGTCTTGCTTGGGTGGTGAAATAGTCAAGAAAAACACAATTAGAACCTTCTAAAAATTATATGAACATCTTTTCCACATTACACAATCCACTAAAAATACCGTCCACTAGATCTGTAATGAATATTTGTGCATTCAGGAGTTTTCCTATGTGAGTTCCAAAATCATTAATTTTCACAATGAATATTCAAAAAAACGTTTTTTTCCCTTTTTTTTTTTACCTCTCCTCCTGTGGTAAGCAAACCAGGTGAATCAAGCTTCCTTTTCTTCCGTGGACCAATAGCTGCCAAGGCAGTTAAGTTGGCATCCCTCTGCCTCATCTGTGCTAGTTCTTGTTGCTGCATCTATTATAAGGAAAAACAAAAGCAATTAAGATTATATCCTGTCCTCTTTTCCAAAATCTTATACAGATGCTTAGCTATGCAAAATAGTCAAAACTGAGCATGTCCAATATCTCACAAGATCATGATGTACCAACTAAGCCAAATTGTAATAGCTCTTACATACCATCTCTGAACAGGAATATCTAAAGCATCACAGTGACATATGTGCATAAGTCCCATTGGCTTTCCATAGGATTTAGGTTCCTGAGTGAACTGTCTTTGAAAAGTCTCACCCTTAATACAATACCTTGAAACTTACTTCAATCAATAGGTACTATTTATTAACTATACACCTTCAGACCATAATTTCTGTGAAGATCCCAAGTACAAAGTAAATGCCAAAATAGTACTATACTTCAAACATTTCCTTTCATCTCCAAATCTGAAGTTTATTTTGACCATTTCATCTACACTTGATACTAATTTCAGGAAAGCAGTAAAAAAAATCCCTGTGTGTGAACATTAGCCAAAGGTTTTTCTGGAAGCACAGTAATCAAAAGTTGAGTTTCCAATGCCTTTATGAGATTAGAGGTTAGTCAACCCCAGATTTAATCCAAGTCTGGATCAAAGAAAACAACATACTTGATTTACAGCTTTATGTAAAAACAGAGAAAACAAAAAATAAGAGAAAAGATTATGGCCATGTGATGAAAAGGTCAGATTGTTTTGCTCATTTCATGGTGCATAATCCCTTGACAGAGCTAATGATCACAAATATTTTCCACGCATAATGCAAGAAGGATCTATATTCAAGTAATGCTAATATTGTATAAAACCAGTTAAAGTCAGATTTAGGTAAGTAGCACATAGTTGGAACCAGATGGAAACATTTGTATTTTTTTAACATTACTACCATAGGTTTTTTCCAGTTTGCAATTATTCGGTTTCTTCACAGGTGTCTTTTGTTTTCTAATTTCTCAGTGATATAATTTTTCCACCTCCATAGAAATCTCAAGTCACTCTCTCATACACTTCCATGGAGGTTTGGGGTGTGTCAAAGATTGTATTCGTAAAGGGACATCCTATAGTCAAAACATGAATTGACAGGTGTGGTTACAACTAAGTCTTTAACTCTGGATTTCACATACAAGGTAAATGTAAATTTACTGGGAACTGAGTAAAAAGGAACTTAAATAAACAAACAGAACACACTGCATTTTTCCCATCTACATTTTGTATTTTGTATCTATATTTGTATCAAACAGCAGAAATGTCTTATTTTCCACATATTTTTGGATTTTCTAATTTCTATTTGCACTTTATCCTAACTAGATTTACTGTACTTTTTAACTCCTTTGGCAAAGCTAGATAATATTATAAATGCAGCACATTTAAGTTTGAAAGCTGTTTATTCTTTCACATGCTCTTCTGTTATGCTTAAGTTATAGTTTTGACAGTTTCACAGCTCAAATTTCCAGCCCAACATTAACACTAAAATTATATAAAAATACAAACAATTCAAGTATCACTTGAATTGTTTGTAAAAAAAATTTTTACCCAATTTTTACCCAATTTGAATTGGGTAAAAAAATCAATTTAATAAAGAAGTAGAATGTGGGCAAAATGTCTAAATAATAGTGCAAAGGTCTGTATGTACTTCCCTTTGCCAACTCATATTAGGTTTTTAACTCAAATATCTTTGGCTCTCTTCCAGATTAAATGCCAGTTAGACAGACCTGCCCGCTTACCCTTTCAAGGTAGATAGCAACAGTGGTGAGCTCTAATCATTTACAAAGGTCATGATCGGAAGCTAGCCCGTAAGCAGTCATTTAAAATTCGATTGATCCCTATTTGTAGTCAGGGAAAGAAAATGGACATTTCAGCTGTATTGTAATTATGAGGCTTCAAGGCAACTGTAAATAGATGTGCAAATCTAGATACTGGCAAATACCTTAGAGAAGAAATTATTACTATAGTATAACATATAGCTAGGAAAGGTTGAAGATAAAACTGCATATAAAAAAAGATCAATCATCTTTTTGCTAATTTAGAATGCTCGCCAGCCTATAAGGGTTATCACAATTATCAGAAGTCTGCTGAATATTTAAGTTAGGGCCAGCTGGCTCAGACTGATCTCAGACAAAGTTGTAAAGCAGAGGGTTACATGGAATGTGAAATTTTGCTCTGGAGATGAGTTTTAATTTCATGGGAGGTTAAGGTCAGAAATGCAGTAAGAAAGGTGACATGTATAATACAAAGGTCACCGCACAAATACGTTACTCAAAGTTATAGTTCTCAGACTTGAGCACTTACATAGGAGTACATATGCACTATTCTGCATTACGAATAGATGCCCATAATACATCTGAATAGTTGCTCTATGAACCATAATTTAGCACGTCTTGATTTTTGTAAATGCAAATTCTAAACCATGACATGTCATTACTATAATATTGGGGCAAATCCTCCCAGCATGAAAAATGCCTTGGTTGTTGTTTCACTATACAAAGGCAGATGGATTTGAGCCCCACTAAGGGGCACTGCTCTCATATGCTCATTAGTTTCTTTGTCTTTACCTTCTTATTTTTGTCACTGTTAAATCAATTTGCTGAGCCTGCTTATATAATGATCATACTATTTCCTTTTCAAACACAGGCACAGAAAGAAATATTCAACTGACTACAACATATGACAGAAAGTGTGGTCAAGTAGACAAGACTGAACTGAGAACCGGGTTCCCACATCTATCCCATCTTTTGCATCTTGTGCATTTATACTGTAAGCTCCTCAAGTAGCAACTCTTTGCTACTTGCCTCATTTACTATCCCCAACACTATCCCTAATCCTAGCTAGGGCCTGTAGACATTACTATAATATAAATAAATGTTAAATTTCCAGATGTGGAACTCTAGACACATTAATAGATTCATAGCTTGTGAGACTGGGAGGGACCTCAGAAGATCATCGGGTGCACCAAGCAGGAAAGACAACTAGGATCAAGTGACCCCAGCAAGGTGACCGTCCAATCTCCTCTTGAAGACTTCCAGGGTAGGTGATTGCACCACCTCTGGAGGGAGCTTATTTCACAGTCTGGACACCATAGCTGTGAATAAGTTTGTCCTAATGTTGAGCCTAAAACGTTCTTCCAGGAGTTTGTGACCATTGCTCCTGGTTTTCCCCAAGGGCGCCCTGGTGAACAGTTGTTCACCGAGCCAATGATGTATGCCCCTGATGTAGCGGTAAGCTGCTACCAAGTCCCCTCTCAGATTTCTCTCCTTCAGACTGAAGAGTCCCAGATCCCTCAGCCTTACTTCGTATGGCTTGCCATGCAAGTCTCTGATCATACGGGTGGTCCTTCTCTGGACTCTCTCAAGCTTTTCCACGTCCTTGTTGAAGTGTGGCGCCCAGAACTGGGTGCACTACTCCATCTGCAGTCTCATCAATGCCAAGTAGAGTGGAAGAAACATTTCTTTAGTTTTGCTGGAGATGCATTGATTGATGCATGCCAGAGTATTATTTGCCCTGCTGGCTACAGTGCAGCACGGCCAGCTCATTTTCATACTGCGGTTAATTATTACCCCCAGGACTCTTTCATTCGTAGTGCTGGTCAGATTGGCGTTGCCAAGCCTGTAGGTGTGCAGGGGATTGTTCATCCCCAGGTGGAGCGCTTTACATTTCTCAATGTTAAACGTCATCTGGTTCCGATCCGCCCGACTTGCCAGCCTGTCTAGGTCCACCTGTATCTGCAGCCTATCTTCAAGCATGATCACATTTCCCCATAACTTGGTGTCATCCACAAACTTGGCCAGTGAGCTCTTCATCCCCACATCCAAATCATTGATGAAGATGTTAAAAAGCACTGGACCAAGCACCGACCCCTGAGGGACACCACAAGCCACTTCTTGCCAAGACGACACAGATCCATTCAGCAGAACTCTCTGGGTCCTACCCCATAGCCTGCTTCCTACCCACCCAACTGTCTTGCAGTTACATTCACAATCTTCCAAATTTCTCATGAGAACATCATGGGATACCAGATCAAAAGCTTTTTGGAAGTCAAGGTATACAATGTAAACCTCCTCTCTCTTATCCAGGTGGCAAGTTATCTGATCATAAAAGGAGATGAGGTTGGTAAGACAAGACATGACCGTAACAAAGCCATGCTGACTGTCATTCACAATCCTACCTACCGCAAGCCTATCATATATAGACTCCTTGACAAATTTTTCCAGGATTTTCCCTGGGATAGAAGTTAGGTTAATTGGCCTATAGTTACCCAAGTCCTCCCTCCTTCCCTTCTTGAAGATGGGCACAACACTGGCACTCTTCCAGTCCTCAGGGACCTCTCCAGAGCCCCACGAGTTTTCATAGATTTTTGGGGTCGGAAAGGACCTTAGTAGATCATCGAGTCTGACACCCTGCCCTGGGCAGCAAAGAGCACTGGGGTCAGATTACCTCAGCTAGGTGCTTGTCTAAAGACACCCACCTAAAGCTTTGTCTAAAGCTTTTGGAAGAGCTTCACCAGGTGTTCCACTATGACTTCAGCCAGCTCCTTCAGCATCCTCGTATGAATTTAATCCGGGCCTGTTGACTAATTTTTATGTCTAATTTTTTTCAATTGGTCACACACCAGTTCTATGGCAATAGTAGGAAGGCGGTCATTCCTACCCTGCTCCTTCTGTACCCTATCTGGAATGTTTTTCCTCTTGGTCCTGTGAAAGGCTGAAGCAAAGTAGTCATTCAGGAGTTCAGTTTTCTCCTGAGCACTGTATCCAGCTGTCCTGAGTTGTCAAGCACTGGCCCCACACTCCCATTTGTTTTCCTCCTGTTCCCTACATACCTAAAGAAGGACTTCTCATTGTCCTTGATTCCCGTTGCTAATTTTAGTTCAGGTGCTGCCTTAGCCCTTCTAATCCGTTCCCTACAAGTGTGGGCCATTGTTGTATAGTCCTCCTTGGGGCATGCCCCAAGCTTCCATTGTTTGTGTGCCTCTTTCTTCTTTCTTAAGAAGGCCACGATTT